CTACAGGTTTTTCCTTATTTCTAATCCTCACGACAATCCCGTAAGAGAGCTACTGTTATCCCAATTTTCAGGTGAAAACCTGGAGGCTAAGAAGTTAAGCAACTCGTCCAGGTCACTATGTGTTAGGGGTCAAAGCCAAGATCTGAACTTCTGTCCAATTTTAAAGCTCGGCTTTTTTTTTTTTTTTTTTTTTAATTGGCTGAGTAGCACATGGGACCTTAGTTCCCTGACCAGGGATCGAACCCGTGACCTCTGCAGTGGAAGCACCGAGTCTTAACCACTGGACCGCCAGGGAAGTCCCAAAGTTCTTGCTTTAGACGCGAACATAAGGATTCGTTTCTACCCATTCTCAAAACACTGTGCCTCCCACTGTACTTCCCGCTGGATATATAAAGCCACACACATCTTACGAAGCTGCCACATATTAGATGTGCTGCTGCACTGAATTTAAAAATAGACCACGCTTCATCACTGGTTTCCCAATGACAGTGGATGACCTGTAGTATCCAAATATTCGTCACACCACACAATAGGGAAAAAAGATTCATGACCCAGTGAGCCGGCTTTTGGACCCAAGAGCCATCAGAAACAGGAGGTGTGGTTTTGCTCACCTTTTCATTGGCTCTGAACATGAGAAATGTTTTTGAATTGAGTTTTTTGAGAGGGGCAGATAAAAGGGGAAAGTTAGGGTTTTTTTGTGTGTTTTTTCCCCTTAGAAGAAATTTCTCATGAAGCTGTTTATTTGAGACCAAGACCCTGATTTTATTAACTTCCTCCTCAGACACAGATCAGCAGCAAAGAGGAAAATGCATGCATTAAGCGTGGATAAATAATCTGTGTGCTGGACTTACATTCCCCCTCACCTGAGGCTACCTGATGCCCACTTGAGAGAAGCATGGAGGCCTCTTTACTCCAAGGGGCTGCAAAAGCCTGCTTCATGGGCAGCAACCCAAGCTCGTGCCAAAGCCCCCAGAGTCCCACACCTGAAACACCTGCCTCAGTTTCCCAAACTGCATGAAGGAGCATCAGGATGTGGACGCAGAACGCTCACCAAGATGAATTCTGGGCTCCACCATTTGTAAGTCTTCACCCCCACTTCCACGACATGGAGGCAACAGGGCCGTAGAACACAGGGTCCTGCAGCCCCTCACAGCCCCGCCTTTCAGCGAGGTTAAGCATCACCTGGCATCGGTTCATGTATTTGCCCCAGGGAGGCTCACACCCAAATGCAGCCAGCCAGACAGCCGGCGAAAGGATGCATTTCGACACAGAGGGGCTGTCAGCTTCCTCTTAGGATCGGCTACCTTTACAGCAGAAAAATGGATCCCTTTGGCTTAAGTGTAAACCGTCTCTCCTTGCAGAAACAAGGTGAATCGTGAGAGTGAATGGGGACTTGTTAAATTAAAATAATGATAATAACGAAAACAGCTAGTGTTTACTGAGTATCAGCTATGTGCTAGGTGATGTTCATTATCTAGTTTATCTCACTTAATCCTTAACACAACCCTAAGAATAGGTACCTTGAGCTTCACTTTATAGAAGAGGAAACCAAGGATCAGAGAAGGTAAGTAATCTACTCAAGGTCACACAGCAGGGTTGTGGAGAAACCACAGTTTAAATTCCAGAGTTCCATCCAATTCCAGAGTTCAAGGGTTTAACTACCGTATCACACTGCAGCAAACCTCATGCTGTACATGCAGCTAGCAACCAAAAAGAAAGCTACTTAGTCTCACTGCAAAAACAAACAAACAAACCAAAAACAAAAACAGAAAGAAAACAAAGCACATTTAAGATGACTACCTTTTAGGCCTATTAGTAAAACATTTTTTCCAATATTATTTTAAATGCCAGCAAGAGTGTCATGAAACTATTATATATCACTGGGATAAACTGGTCCCATCTTTCTTGGAAAAACATTTAGCTTCAGGAGCCATAAAAATGGTCAATGCCAGGGCTTCCCTGGTGGCGCAGTGGTTGAGAGTTCGCCTGCCGATGCAGGGGACGTGGGTTCGTGCCCTGGTCCGCGAAGATCCCACATGCCGTGGAGTGGCTGGGCCCGTGAGCCATGGCCGCTGAGCCTGCGCGTCCGGAGCCTGTGCTCCGCAACAGGAGAGGCCACAACTGTGAGAGGCCCGCCTACCGCAAAAAAAAAAGAAGAAAAAAAAAAGGTCAATGCCTTTAATGAGATAATTTGTGAAAACTCAGATACCTGAAAATATCCGTTACAGTATTTCAAAAGTGGTGTGTGTGTGTGTGTGTGTGTGTGTGTGTGTGTGTGTGTCTGGAAGCAACATAAATGCCCCACAATGGAGGATGACCAAGAAAATGATGGTGTCCCTGCATTATGACACTTATACTGCCAATAAAAGGGCGGCCAGGTGATGAAGCAATGTGGAAAAATGCTAATGTGCCCATGTTAAGTGAAAAAGCAAGTTACAAAAGCACATGCTTTGCCCCTAAAATAATTAAGTATAGGATTACCATATGAGCCAGCAATTACAGTTCTGGTTGTATATGCAAAAGAATTCAAAGCAAGGACCCAAACAGATATCTGTATATCCAAGTTCAAAGTGGCATCATTCACAATAACCCCAAAGTGGAAGCAACCTAAGTGTTCTTTTTTTTTTTTTTTAATGCGGCACGCGGGACTCTCACTGCCGTGGCCCCTCCCGTTGCGGAGCACAGGCTCAGCGGCCATGGCTCACGGGCCCGGCCGCTCCGCGGCACGCGGGATCCTCCAGGCCAGGGCACGAACCCACGTCCCCCGCATTGCAGGTGGACTCTCAACCACTGCGCCACCAGGGAAGCCCCCAAGTGTTCATTGATAGATGGCTGGATAAGCAAAATGTGGTCCATCCATACAATGGAATATTATTCAGCCCTAAAAAAGGAGGGGATCCTGACACATGCTGCAACGTGGATGAATCTAGAGGCCATTATGCTAAGTGAAAGGAGCCAGTCACAAAAGGACAAATACTGTGCAATTCCAGTTAAATACCAAGAGTAGTCAAATTCAGAGACAGGAAGTTGAATGGTGGTTGCCAGGGGCTGGGTGGAAAGGGGTATAGGGAACTAGGGTTTAAGGGGTAAAGGGTTTCAATTTTGCAAGACAAGAAAATTCTGGAGATGGATGGTAGTGATGGTTCATAACAAGGTGAACGTACGTCAAAATAGTAAATTATATATATATTTTACCACAATTGAAACATAAAAATTAAGATAAAAAAGCACATGCCTACTAGTCACAATTAAAAATGCACATTTTTAAAAAGGAAAAGATACCCAAATTGGCAGTGGCTACGTTGGGATAGTGGGAAAATAATAAATCACTTACAGATCACCTTCTACACACCAGCTCCTTTACAGACGTTATGTGTCTCACTGTGTACCTGGCACTTTACAAATGAATATATGAAATCTTTAAGACTGGCGGTAATACTGCTATTTCAATGTTACAACTGGGGATTCTGAGGCTTGCAATTTCCCCCAAAGAGAGTGAAACAGAAGCGAACTGAAATACCACTTTAGAAACAGCCACACCCATCACTCCCAACACTCTCCCTCTCGGCTCAGAAAGCAGGTGGGCTCGGAAAGCACCCATTTCTAGGAGAAGCTCAGAGAGCCTTCCCTGAATGGGTGAGGTCACCACTTCTGCGGCAGGAGTGGAGGGTTCTCCCGCACACCAAGCTGGTGTAACAGCAACCTCAGGCCCCAGGGACCGGGCCGACCCCAAGGGAGGGGAGAGTGGGCCATATTTTGGAATGACCCAAAGAAAGTCCGTGTTTGTCTGCAAGGAGAGAGTGAGGAGGGAGGTTCCTGGGCTTTCACATTTTTTTTTTTTTCATCTTGAAATTGGCAGCATTTCTGATATGATTGCAGGGGATTTCCACCAACCAAATAGAAAATTCAGTTTTAGCATTCACTGTAAGGAAAGAGGAGTTTTGCAACCTTTGTCATTTATGAAACACTGGCAGTGGCACCAAGACGAGGATGTTGGGGAGAATGTTTTCCTCCCTCTCAAACCAGTCAGGCTCCAGCCATCCTTGGCTCGTGGTTAATGACCACACACGTGTCACTACCAGACAGCAGGGCACTGACACTCCCTGACCCGCCCAGAGCACGGCCCTCCGGACCTGCCCCTCCGACAGCTTGGCTGGGAAACGTGTTGGTCCCCTGGAGAGTGACTGAAAGAGCTCTTCTGAGGTCCTACGGTAAGGAAACATTTGATGGGGCCCCAAGCCCCACTGTCAGACCCACAGAAGCAGCTGGAGGGAGGAAACTGCTCTGTAAACAAAAATGGTTTTGAAAAATAAGCCAGCCAAAGGGGAATTGCTTCATAAGTTGCACATTCACTTCTCCCTTTAACTGTGCAATTGAAGAAAAACAAGGTGAAGCAGGAACTAACCCCTCACATCCCCCCATTCACCCCCACCACCACCACTATTTCCCTCGACCAGGCACAAAGTCTAACCGGGTCTGAAGCTGGTCTCTATTTGCGGATTGTCTGTGCCGCGTAAGGTCCCCCTGGGGCTGGTACCCGCCCTGCCTGCCTGCCTTGTTGTTAGCACAGCCCCTTGGCCCGCCCCCCTCACCCCCCACCGGGGATCACGGTAAACACTTGCAAAACGTAATAAAGCAAGAGAAAGGATGGAGCCCGCAGCATCGTGCAAAGGTATGCTTTAGGTACCCTCCCCGGGCATGGACAAAGGCTGCAGAAATGCAGCTTATCCTGCTGGAAAGGGGCATCGGCATGGCCGGGAGGGCCTCTGGGGCAGTTGCCCTAATTCCAGAAACAGCTATATTCGCAGAGTGGCCAGCGTCGTTTCCGAACATGGGTGGAGAAGGTGAGGGGAGTGGAGCTCAGAAGGAGGTAAGCTTGGCTGTCTTTAGAGCTGGCAACTAACAACTAGGTTTTGAGAGCACACCCCATCCTCCCACCCAATCCCCACACTCCAGGGTGTCTTCCATTACTTTGGTGAAAGCACCGAAAGAGAACCAACCTCCGCATGTGCCAGGCAGTGCCCTCATGAGCCAGGGTGGACAGAATCTCAGTCAGGAAATCAAGCCACAGCAGGGCATGGAAAGGCTAAAGGGTTGGCAATTTCTGCTCTAGAGAGAGCAGAGAAAGCTCTGTTCTGTCTCCTTGTGTTTGGTGACGGCCTGCTAAATCAGAAGAATCTTCGTCCCCACTTGTCACATCAATCAAACCGGGTGGGTAACGGTAGAAGGGTTTACAGGAGAGTATCCAGGTGGCTCTGAAAGGACACCCCGAGTCCCCCGTCCCCACAGCAAGAGAACTGCTAGCAAACTTCTCCTTCATCTGCAAGCAGCCACACGGTCAGATGATTAAACGCTCTGGCATCTGAAGGAACCGGGATTCTGGATCAGCCAATTGTAAACGTGTGGATCGGGAAGTTATTTAACTTTTCTGAGCCTTCGTTTCCTCCGGTGAAAATGGAGACATCATTCAGCTCCTATGGTTAACCGAAAACCATCTGTAAAAACAGTCACTTCTTTGGAGGGGAAGAGTCCCCTGTGGTACCATTCACTTGACAAGAACACCAAGGCACTGTCAGTCACTCCAGCGGTGTGCACCCCTTAGGGAAGTGCTCAGTGGGATCAGTCCTCGGTTTCAAAGTCCCTTTGGAGCAGTGAACCTTTCCCTCCGAGATTCCTGGGGAAGGAACCCGCTCCCGGCCCCAAGGCACAACCGCCCCGCACACACGCGTGACCGTGCAGGACATTTCTGAGGGTGGCGGCCACTGGGGCTCTGCAGGAGCCCGGGGGAAGAAGCCCCACTTGATGGTACGGTGGGGTTCGAGACCCCGCAGGTCCCTCCTTCCAGGGGACACCTGAACGAAGTGAAAGCTGCTCAACCATCCGAGGGCGCCAGAGCGCTCCATCTGCAAACTGGGGGGATCCCAAGGGTGCTGTGCGAGAACCTGGTACGTGGGCCGCCCCAGGATGCCCCCCACTCCACTCCGACCCCGGAAATCCCATCCCCACCCGCTTCCCCTCTGGGAGCGCACTTTTCGGGGCCTCCTATCAGTCCTCTCCTGGCCCCCTGGACCTCCATCTCCCCACCAAGGCAGGGCGCAGACGGCAAAGCAGTGCCCCCCATTCTGGTCCCCAAGAAAGTTCTCCCTGTTCCCCTCTCCTCGATCTCAAAGAAAGGGGTGCAGAAGACGAAGCCTAAATAAAACCAGGAAACTCGATTTAAAAAAAAAAAAAGCAGCAGCAGCCTCATTCAGGCTGAATTACGGGTAAGAGTATTTAAAAGAAGAAAGAAAAAAAGAGTCCGGAAATGCAAAGCTGAAGGCGGTTTTGCCGCCGTAACCCGGGCCCAGCCGCAGATCCGGGGGCTGATCTCCACCGCGCGGCTGCAGTAAACACGCGGTGAGCGGCGCCCGCGGCCGGAGCCCGGCCGGGGTGGGCCGGAGAGGGACCGGCCGCGCGCCCACGCGCCCGGCAACGTCCTCGCCGGCCGCTCTCCAGCCCAGGGCCCCGCTCACCAGAGCTGGGGAGGGCGCGCCGGGCCAGGGCGCCGGGGACGTGTGCGCACCCCTCTCCCCACCGCTCGACGGGAGCAGGGGGGCGGCACCGCCGTTAAGGAGAGTAGCCTGCACCCCGCGGCGCGGCCGGGGCGCCCTGGGGTGCCGCTCGCCAGCGCCCGGGACAGGGCGCACGCGGCTGAGCGCTGTCCGTCTCCCCGCGCTTCGGCGGGTGCACGCGAGGCCGCAAAGCCGCTGGAAGCGCAGCCCGTACGCCGCCGCCGGGCCCGGGAGCTCCCCCGTCCCGCTCCGCGGGGCAAGCAGTCCAGGCGCAGGGGAGCTGTGCGCACCCCTCTCGGCGGACGCTCAGGGGGCGGCTCCGACCCCGCGCACAGCCTTGGCCCAGGTCCCGGGCTCGCTGGACGCGGGCGGGCGCACAGAGCCGGGGCGCACGGGCTGTACGCGCCGGGAGAAGTCCGCAAGCCGGTCCCGCGGCTCCCCGAGGTCCCCCGAAGTCCCCGGCCCCGGTCCTCTCCCCCACCTCCCAGACTCAGCCTGAGGCGAGCGCTTACCGGTCCCGGCGCGGCTGGCAGGGGCTGGGGCGGCTCGGGCCAGCTGCCGCTGGGAGCGACGGCGCTGGGCGCGAGTGAGCCTCGAGGGAGGGAGGCGGGGCGCGGTAGGGGCGCCCCGCCTGCTGACAGCCCGCATACTCCACTTCCCACTTTGTTTCCTTTTTACTTGCAACAGGAAAAACAACAGGTCCTCCTGCAGCTTCTTCTGCCGCTGCGCCCTCCCCTCCCGCCCCCCAAGTCCCCACCCCGTCTGCGGTTGGAGGGGCATCATTCCAGGGCCTCTGGAAGCTGCACCTTGACCTTCTCCAAAACAAGTTTATATGTATTTATATATAAAAGAAAACAACCAAATAAAGGTCCTAAGAGCCCATAAGAGCCCCACGCCTTCCACATTCACACACTAAAGAATTTCAACAGTGGCCGGAGAAAAGCGGGAGGCAGCCAGGAGCGACCCCAAAGCCAAGTGCAGGGAACTGGGCAGGAGGGAGGGTAAGTGGGGCGGAGCTTGGAGCTCAAAGTCCCACTCCGCTCAGCCCTGGAGGGAAACGGTGGCCTCCAGGCTTTGATGGGTAGAGAGCATGGGGGTTGAGGGCCAGCGCCCCATCCCCCCACCCCCGCCGCGCCCCGCCCCAGATTACAGTAGTGGCTTCAGATCCTTCTAGGATGTGATGGGGGATGAGCCAGTCAATAGCTTAATCAAATGACTTAAAGGACCCTCCCCAACCCAGCCTGCGAGGTAAAGCACCTGTTTGGTTCCCTTGGACAGATGAAGACACTGAGGCTTGGGGAGGGGCTCTTTCTATCCAAGAGATTCCCAGGCCTCTCAGGACCGTCTCGGGCTCAGTGCTGGCTCCAGCAACGGAAGGAGCAGGCGGTTTTTGTGTCTAGACAGGAAAGGGGAGAGAATTTGGGTAAGATGAGTGGGTTACTAAGTGGTCCCAGTTTTCTAAGATCTAGGATGCAGGCTCTGATCTCTCAACTGGATGATACCTGTGGAGGAACCAGGAGGGACCGTGGGTCTCTTTGGCAGAGAATGTTGGGCCTGTCCCCAGGAGGGTACATCCTTCCCAACAGAACATCTGAGGCTCACAGCCTCACTCCTACCCCAGGTCAGGACCACTCCAGGGCGATACTGTCAAAAGCTGGAAGAGAAATGGACATTTCAAAGAGAAAATCTGATGGCAGGTTTGGATGTTTCCAAACATCTGTCCTAGCCCTGCTTTTGCCTGGTTGTAATTTAAACACTGCTTGCTGGTTTTCAGAGCTGGTTGTAAGCAACAGTCAGATCAGGAACGCTTTTGCATCATCCAAAGGAGCTCTTCGTTGAATACGTATTTGCTGACCGCCAGTCAGATCATGCTTTGTAATATGCAAGACGGGAGACCTGCCAAGTGCTCAGATGTGCTTCACACGCTGTTATCTCTGATCTCGACAATAGCCTCCCAAGAGAAATCTTAGCATCCCCACTTGAAAGGTACGGAAACTGAGGCTCAGGAAGGTTGAATCCTTTTGAGGGGCCACACAGTCTGTGTCTAACTGCTTCCAGATCCTCGATTCTTTGCCCATGCCACACTGCTTATGCCCCAGTCCAAGAAGTTTCACTTTCCTGAAACCCCAATGCACTTCCTTTTAGAGACCAAACCGTAAGACTTATTCCTCTCTTTTGCCTGGGGTACCAGGAAAGTCAAGCTGACTGTGGCATCAAGTACGGTCAATATGGCCCCTCAAGTTCCCAGTAGACTTCTGCCTTTCTCTCTACAATTTCTGATCTCTCTTTCTCACTTTATTTTTAACTGTTGTCATGTGTGTTTTGGAGGAAGCTCCTTCAAGTTCCTTTTGAATTGTAAGTGAAATGGGCCCGCCAAGGTGGAGAATTTATAGCAGTCCTAGAAGAAAAGTGGCACTTGGGCTGTAGGGAAGTCAACACGTGTTACTCCCGTGACCTCCCGACTGGGAAAGACTTTGGCCCCATTTTATGGAAGGGAAAAGAGATCTTGGGTATTAAGGGGGCAGCTGGTCGGTGGAGAGCGGCTCGGATGGACAGGAGGCACCCCGCGGGCCTCTCAGAGGAGCACACAGAGCCCTCCAGACCAGTTTCCTTCTGGGCCTGCCACCTTGTCCTGCAGAAGTTCCCCCTCCGAAAGCCAAGCCAGCCTCCACAGCTTCTCACGGATGCAGTGAGCGTCTCTGCTCTGTTCGACCTTGACTGCTTTCACCACCGCCACCCACACATGCCCGCAGCAGGGTTAACTCAGTGCAGCCGGAGCCAAGATGAGCACCCGGCTGCAGGGGGACAAGTGAGGAGCTCACTTCCTCAGCCCCTCCACAACGGGCTCCAGACACCTGCCTCCATGCCCCATCCTGGCACGAAGCCCACTTTGCCGAGGGGCCTTTCCTTCCAGGCAGGGCAAAAATTATCCAGCTCAAACCCTTGCCCATTTGCCTTGGCCAAGGAAAGTGTGGTGAAGATTCGCAATTAAGAGCACCTTCCCTGCAGCCAAAGTGCCTGGCACGGCCACTGTGGAGCTGTGTGACCTCAGGTGAGTGGCTTAAGCTCTCTGTGCCTCCATTTCCTCATCTGAAAAACAAGGATGCTGATAATGGCTTTCAACGTTTAGAATTGTTGTTAGGATTAAATGAGTTAATACATGTAAAGTGCTCCTAAGGATACCTGACACAGAGTGAACCCCCAGAAAATGGTAGTTATTGGGTTATTCCAGAACATCATCTTTGTGCTTTGTGGGATGGGGTGTTTCTGCTCTAGGACAATATTTTTCAATAGCAGTGACAGCAGGTTGTGATGTATTAACACATTAGTGTACTGGAAATCCACTCAGCAGGTCAAATTTATAAAAATGCAACAGAATAAACAATACCAGATTGTATTCCACGTAGGAAGGGTGGTATCCCTCCCTGAGGCTTTTTGTCCCATTTATAGGTACGTGTGGGTGACCATTAAGTCAAGATGTAAAATGCATCCTCACTGCAGGTCCCTGTCAGCACAACAAGAAAGCTGCTGCCTTCTGGGGACAACAACATAATGGTGGTGGCAATGGAAAGGCAGTGCAGATGGGTGGAGAACTCGGCCAAGGTCAGGCTTGATTCCTGGAAAGTCTGACTTTTGAGGACACAGGCTCCAGCGAGTGCAGAGAGATGGCCGGGGGGGATACCTGAGGAAGAGAAGCTGGGGCTCCAGGCTGTGCCTGTCATGTGGGGAATGATCCAGGGGTGGATGGTTTGTGCCCTCGCACTTCATTCACCTCAGGTCAGAGCTGGATCGAAGGGTCCAGGAAGACCCAGACAAGTCAGAGGTGGCCCAGATGAACCTGGCTCCTGTGGGGCCAGGGCTGAACTGATGGGGACTGAGTTTCTGGGCCCACCTGGATGAGAGCTCCAAACAGAAATTGAGTTATCCTTTTTGTAAAACACGCACACTTGGGGGTTTCCCTGGTGGCGCAGTGGTTGAGAGTCCGCCTGCCAATTCAGGGGACACGGGTTCGAGTGCTGGTCCAGGAAGATCCCACATGCCGCGGAGCAAATAAGCCCGTGCGCCACAACTACTGAAGCCCACGCGCCTAGAGCCCGAGCTCCACAACAAGATAAGCCACCGCAATGAGAAGCCTGCGTGCCGCAACGAAGAGTAGCCCCCGCTCGCCGCAACTAGAGAAAGCGTGCGCGCAGCGACGAATACCCAACACAGCCAAAAATAAATAAAAAATTAAATCTTAAAAAAAAACCCCAGGGCTTCCCTGGTGGCGCAGTGGTTGAGAGTCCACCTGCTGATGCAGGGGACACGGGTTCGTGCCCCGGTCCACGAGGATCCCGCATGCCGCGGAGCGGCTGGGCCCGTGGGCCATGGCTGCTGGACCTGTGCGTCCAGAGCCTGTGCTCCGCAGCGGGAGAGGCCACAGCAGTGAGAGGCCCGCGTACTGCAAAAAAACAAACAAAAAAAACCAAAAAAACCCCCCAAAACACTCACACTCAAAATCCAGGCTGCCTGGGTTCAAATCCCAGCCGTGCAACCCTGGGGTAGTCACTTCAGCACCTCCTGAGCCTGCGCTGGGGAGGGTTCCCTGAGTGGATGATCCTGCCTCTAGCACAGTCAATGCTCCAGAAACAGCAGCTGGCTTTAAACAAATCCTCTAAAGCTCTTCCTAGTCTAGGGTGTAGGGTAAATGTGGAAAGGGGAGGGGGGGAGTAGCGGGGTTTGGGGTCATAAGGCTGGATCCAGCCCCCGCACCTCCATACACCGGGGTTGACCCAGGTTTTGCAACACTGATTCATTTGGCAAGTTCCGGGCTTTGGGATATAGCACTGTACGAGCCAAAGACCTGCCCTCCTGGGGCTTACACTCCAGTGAGAAGAGAAACTATGAAGAATGAAAATAGGATACAGTGTCATGGAGTACTAAGAGCTGCAAAGAAATATTCAGCA